GCAGTAATAGTCATGGCCATGGTAATGGTAATGTTAATAGTAATAGTAATGGTAACAGCTGTAGTCAGAGTAACAGAATTATCAGCAGTGGTACTAGTAATAGTAGTAGTAATATAGTAGTACTAGTAACAGCAATGGTGGCAGTAGAAGTGGTAATGGTAGTGGCACTGGCAATGGCACTGGTAATGGTAATGGTAGTGGTAAGGTAGCATAATAGTGCCAGTAATAGTAATCGTAGCACTACTTTGGGCATGGTTTTTGAAGGCGCTTCCAGTTTCGGTACGTAGCAGAAGTATCTAAGGTTCGGAACCATTGGGACTTCTACAGCAGCTACGGCTTTCTGGTCTTCAAAGTCTCAAGCACCTGGAACGCTTAATCGAGCAAAATTAACCCAGAAATTGAACAGTGGAACCTTTCCTTTTCCGTTGGTCTTGTTGGTGACAGGGAGACTTTAGAGCTGCTGCATCGCCACTTGAGGACTTGAGCATACCCCACAAACGCCTAGTGCGTTCGCACATCAGATTTGTAGGGCTTGAGGAGTAGAGTGGTCTTAGGTTCCTCGATTCTGAAGGCAGTACACCGCCAACATTGGAACATTTTCGAACGGTAGTAACAGACAACCTGTTGGTGTGGGATGTGCGCCCCCAGGATTGAAGCGGGTCGCGGGAATTGTGCGCATGTTCAAACATGAAGCTTATAACCTAGGGAGAGCACTGTTGAATGGCCAGTATCTTCAGTGGCAGAAAGTTACGCGCTTTAGACAGGCAAAGCGAAGTCTGCTGCAAAAGGTTGGAGTCTTTTGTTGCACATGCTTAACGACTTGACTGGCATCTGTTTGGGTCCACTTTAACTTGGCCGGGTCCATTGTGTTAGAGCCTTAGTTCATCCGCTGCGCAGCGTAGATTCTACAACCGAAGATGCATCAGCTTGCTTCTTGAGCGGTTAGTTCATAGCGAGTGAGGTTATGCGATACTGCGCTGCGCCGGGTTTGTTGCTGTTGCGACTGCAAAGCTCTAGTGCCCGTATGGGATCTTCTTTCTGACCTAACGAGCGCTGCGCAGGACAGCGCTCCGTACTCTGGCACAAGCCCTGACCCAAGCCCGAAACCCAATACCAATACCGTAGCCGCAAGCCGTGAGACTCCATCCTGAGTCCCAGACCCCTCTTGGTGTTGGATCTCTGAACTGATGCCAGCCGCAGGCACTGGTATGGGCGCTGTCTTTCCAGCTTCTAGCCGGGATGGTGTTAGCTCAGGCCCGGCAGGAGTGTCTCACCACCTCCCATGCCAAGTCACCAAGTCATTGAGTCCTAGATGTTGGTTTGTTGCTTTCCCAAATGAGGTTCCGCCTTATATACCCAAACATATATGCTGCAATCCTGATTGTGGGGACGATCATCCCCCTAATTTTGGAAACCGCTAGATCAATCATTATTGCCCTTTTCATGGCCGGCCCTGCGTATGCCGACTTTCCAATCCTCTTGAAAGGGCCAAAGTTTGACCTTCACTTGGTTTTACATGACTGCGTTCCAAGCAAGTTTTGGATGGGGGTGGGGGTCTGCGTTTGGTGCACGTTTGGTGTTCAGTGCTGGGCATTTGCGACTGGCGCATACTCAGACTCAGATGCCACTTGCTGACAATTTACAACTTTACTGTGGTATGATCCCAGCCATTCTCATCATAGAGCTCCAGTACAGGACAAGCGTAGGAGACCTTGCCTAGACATCCGACTTTCTATCTTGAAAGCAGTGAGCAGGTGCAGGCGAACAGCATCGCCTACCATGCTTGCATTGGGAGCTGTGAGTGCCACGCCTGCAAACCCAGGGTGGTCTCAAGTTTAGTTTGAGGCTTTCTCAAAATCGAGAGCACTGTCCAGTGGCTCCTACAGTAAGCAATGTAGCATTTTGGGGTCTATAATGGGGTCGCCCAATTGACAGAAGCTACAACTTCTGCATGTACTCAGGGTGCATGAGGGACCCCAAGAGAACCGTCCGCGGCATTGTCAGAGCCTGTTTGCTATGCAGAGTGACGTGCTCAATCAACAGTGCAGGTGGCAAAGGATTTGTTCAACCCTAAACCGCGTGTTGCAAAGTAACACGGATGAGGCTGTGAATTGTAAGTCAAGCATATTACAGGCCCAGTCAATGCGTGTCCGACGAATTGACGAACCCATGAACTTCACATTCAAGGACATCAACATAGTATGAACCTACCCTGTATTCGGGCCTCCGCACCCATCAGTAGGGATTAGGGGCCATATGTCCCCAAGTAGTGAGGGTACCAGGAGGGTCTTGGAAGTCAGCCCCTTTCCTTGCCAGGTCTGCAAGTCTGGGACATACATAGGCGGCTGTCAAAGGTATGGCGCGTTTTGTTACCTTGGTTAGCTGGGATGAAGGAATGGAAAAGAATATGGAAACTATAATGATTTGACTATAATGGGTTATTTACGGAGTACTGTAAGGATCCATTCCTTCATTCCTAGCTATCCAAAGAGAAGTTTGAGGGCCCCCCTTAACCCTGGCCCCTCATAGATATGGACATGCTGTTATTTATGGGCTACAGCCAGGGGATGTTGGGGGCGCTTGTTATTGGGGGCTTTCGAGGGACTGTTAACTGTTGTTATTACTACTATTACTTTATTTTGTTTCTGCTATTCTTACTACTATTATCATTATCATGATTATGATTACTATTACCATTTCCATTGACTATCATGAGACATATTCACATGGCGGATTCCTTGGTATCCTACGGGCGCATGAGTTCGGGCTCCTATTCAAGGATGGGGGGTTTAGGGCTTAGGGTTTAGGGGGCCAAGTGTCGCACAAAATCCCTTCAATTCCTAATCCCGACCCTGCAATTTGTCTATGACCCTAGAGAGCTCTCACATATGTTGCATTTTTGAGTCAGCAAAGCCTTGCAAGGAAAGCTGGCCGGTGGGCGGATGTGCTCCAGCTGGAGGCACGGTTGACTTAAACGTGGGTGCGCCAATTTTGTGGGCCCTTTTGATTTTCTCTTTGAAGTGCACGAAATGAATTCAGGGGTCTTTTTGGCATGAGGCTTGGTTTTAGTGTAATGCAGGTGGCGACAATCACCTGCGTTGAAGCTTGAGGCATATTGGATGTTGCGTTGATTCTTCCTTGGCCACCACCGACCCGTTGCTTGCATCAGTAGTATAGCCGAGCGCATGCAAGTACTTTCAAACCGCGTGCTTGCTTCCAAGAAGGAATCTGCAACTTGTTTGAGGGGCAGTCCCTGGATGTCCCTGGCACGTGGGCCTTTTGCCCACCAGAGGTGCAGCGGTGCTCTCTGGATAAGTTCATAATGTATTTTGCGCCCCTCAAGATCCTGCCCCCCGCGCCGAAAGTAGTGATCGCGCGGAAAGCGTCACCCCACCCTGATGAGTGACCCTTCAGGCAGCGATGATTGCTGCCAGCTTGCCTCTAAACAGGAGATGGGCATGTTGTCTAGTACCAGTCCAGAAGAAGGATAGTCGCTTGGGTCTTGTTAGCAGTTCTCGTACTTGAGGATCTTGTGAATTACTGGCATACAGCAGGCAGCCCCTTATACAGAGAGGATTGCATTCCAGCAGCCCCGAACCTGAATCTCAAGATCTGTTGGGTACTGCCCCCACCCAGTAACAGTCTTTAATAGAAGCCGTCTGAATGGCTTCTGAATTCCTTTAAGATTCATACCTCTCATTCAGCTGTTACTGGAGGAATCTGGAGGAGATCAGTACCCACAGTATTTGCTTTTGAAGAGTTCTGAAATATGTCCAGCTGCATGAAGACACAAGCCTAATATCCGGATGCACATGCGTGTAAAGTTGTTCGGCTGAAGCCCATGTGTCTGGTCTAACTCGAGGGTTGAGAATGTTGGTTCCGTTTGGCTTTGAGTTCATGAAACAAATCCAGGATCACGGTCAATGCTGTGGTCTCCGCCCATGAGAAGGGGTGCCTGCAGGCTTTCCCATCAGGTGCCAAGGGTTTTATGTTCTTGGGCAAGAGGTTGCATGTTGTTCCGCAAGTCATGACGTAGAGAGGTTCAGGTGTTACAAAAGTCATTGCGACTCTCTCGCGCTCTGATGGCGTTGTTCCAGTCATTGCCTCTGTGCGGAGGCTGTTCCCGTCTCTTTGGGTGGCAGGCGGTGGGAGGCTCTATGCGAAGAAAAAGCAAGGCAGCTATGAATGCATCGCTTTGCGCTAAGCGCTGTGATTTGTCTGTACCGGCAGTGCTCAACCAAAGGTGCCACAGCGAGTAAGTTGCTATCACATGAAGCACCATCTTCAATTCAGGGGCTACATATGTGCTCCTCCACTACGTTGGGCCATCTCTCCCATAAGTCCCATAGCCATAGCTTTTTCTTCGATGGCACAGACGTCTAACGGCACCCGGCGTCCATGATGCCTTGACATCGAACACCTATGCTTATGTGTATTACTCCGTTCTGCGGGAGCAAGCAGTTGTATTATTATTCAAGTTCTATCGTTTTTGATTGCCATTTTCGTTTCAGCGGTGGTGGGGCACATTCGGCTGCTTGGCGTCCTGATCGTGATATGCAAGCCGCTTCGCGGCATGTACCGCGGCCAAGGCCAGGAGATGTGTAGGTAGTGCATGACCAATGTAACACCAGACTGGATGAAGACTAGCCTGCGTGATCTAAATGTGTATGAGTTGTACAGGCAGATGATCTATGCCAGAGCTGGTTTCTCATAGCAGGAGGTCGTGCAAGCAAAAAGCAACCACGCCTGTTTCTCTCTCAACCAATGGGCTGCGGGGCATCCACGGCCACGCAGAGCCAGGCTGAGGTGCCTGCTGCAGCTCCTCCAGCTGTTGTTTCAGCTGCGAACGAGGTGGCGAGCAATGGACGGAACTTTTCAAGAGCCATGTCTCTTAGGTTTGCCTCAGTTAGCCGTTGTTTTGGTTCACTTCTGTGTCCCCAACCGAGTGAGCAAAAGTGGGTTGTTGCTTGGGACTGTTTGTGAGCCCCGGATCACCCAAGGTTTTCCTATAAAAAGGGCAGCGAGGAGATACCGAAGATTGCAGAAGTTTGCCAGCACCTGACGGCAATGGGCCACGATGTCCTCATGTTACAGCCAGATGATGATGGCAAGGTAGCGCAAGAATACTTGGAGAAGATCCGGGAAGGAGGTGTTCTCCTATCGGTGTGCAGCAGCGACTACGCCGAGAGTGACGGCACGGACTACAATTCGTACTTCGAGCTGAAATTTGCATACGACAATGAGATCCCTGTGTGGCCATTGAGGATGCAGAACATTTATCCTCCGATACCTGCCTGGGGCAGCAAAAATTCCAAAGATCCTTCAGGGGACGGCCCTGCCATGATTGCTCTGGCGATCGGCTCCAGAAGCAAGAGCTTGCAGTATCTGGACTGTCGAGGGAAGACGGCTCTTGAGATCGCGGAGGCGATTTCAAAGGACCTTGAGAAACCAAAGCCCTAAATCTGTCTTCCAAAGGTGAAGCTATCAGATGGATGGGCGACTTTCCACAAGGTCACGAGACGTGACTGTGACGATTCTGCAACAAAGACGTTCACAGATGGGTCGTCCCGCATCACTTGTGAACAAGCAAATGCTTTTCTCATGATGGAACCGCCTGGCAGGGAAGAACTGATGATACAAAAAATGCTGCCAGCTTTCATTTTCGACTCTGTCCATCCACCAGACATTTGGCACATAGGCGCATGGCGAGTCTAGTGCCCTGAGTCAAATACTGCTTGGAAAGAAGCTGTCTTTCTCTGGCTGGGGTACCCCTTAAAAGCACTCTAATGCACCTCATGTACGCGGAACATTGCAGGCACGAAATGCATTCTTTCGGCCCATGTTGTTTACACTGACACATGCACCTGATAGTTGGGCGTCGTTGCAACTGAAGATTGGCTCAAGTCGGCTGCTTCTCCGTGAGCGTGCAAGGATCGGAATCTCGGCTTATGATGTGGGCTGGTCCTTAGGCTAGCAAGCTGGAAGGACACCCTGGAATACAGTCCCTCCAGAAGCCCTACATGTGTACTCCCGATGAAGATTATATAGTCCCAGGAGAGTCGAAGTACAACGTGGGAATGGGTGAGGATGATAAGAAGATTGTCTCCACTTCGGCTGATAGAAGAGTTTCGGACTAGCTTTGAAGGAAGCATCTTAGCCATGGGACGCAACTCATCAATTTGGATTCCCGATTCGCCTACTATGGGGGCCTTGATAATTGCCAAGTGTTAGGGCTCTAGTTCCTGGTTTAATTAGCACGCAGGGTAGCACATGTAGACCTCAAAAATGATATCGGTGCTGATTCAGGCCGCTATCCTCAAGCCTCATGTAAACCCTTTTCGATTTTGCATTTTGGGTGACAACGTGCTGGAGAGTTTAGGCCAATTGTCCAAGCACTGCCAAGACAAAAGCGCCTCACACTTCATTCGCCCTTGGACGGAAGGCAGCTGCAAATAAGGAGCTAACATGAGCTAGCATGAATATGCTTGGACACTACAAGTCCACATCTAGACATCAAACAGCATGACCCCCATGGACATACTGATAGTATCTAAGGACACCGCAGATGTAAAAGAATATCTGCGGGAATGCCCCAGCACCGCCCAACAACCGTTCGACACTTCGACATGACCTGTTGAGACTGCCTTCCCAGGCCTCCAAGAGGATGAAAGATGAACCCCCCTAGTAATCCCCCTAGGTTCCCCAAAATCGAAGCGGAGCTTCCTTGTGAGGCTGCATTTTTTGATCCTTTAAGGGGTCCTGGGTTGTTACCCGTTGAAAAATGAAAATCAAAAAGAAGAGAAAATGGCAGATGAAATGGGAACTGGTTTATCTACGGCTTCAGCATATAAAGTGCGTGAGAGCTACTACCGGTTGGAGGAAGGTTCAGTACCCACCACCCTAGCACTGAACCTTCCTCCAACAGCCCTGCCCTAAACTTACCACACTGAAAGCTACACTCATAAGCCTACCTTGGGAGGGGACTGTTGTGAGACCATGAATTTTGCTACTCTTTTAAACAGTGTCTTGACTCAGGGTGACTTTGGAGTAAAGGTCCTAATGGGTTACCACTGGGAGAACATGTGAGGAGCGTTTCCAAATAGATGCCATGTTCCAATTCTGCGTCATACGCACCACCTGTTTTAGTTTTGTGGAAGACTTCAGAAGCAGGGATTGTGTCAAAAGAAGCGCGACGTTGAAACCAAGGCGTGAGCGCGGCATTTGGCATTTTCGGCTCACAAACCAAAGCCTGTTCTAGAACAAGGGCTTGGATCAGCAACGGCAGCGATCTCGAAGGCGAAAGCAAAGCAACGTCAGCTGAAAACGGAACTTCCTGTAGACCAGACTCGGTAAGGGCCACGGGAATTCCGTGATCCCAGAACTTCGAACCCAAACACCGCCCAACATCTGGTCCCATAGTCCAGGCATGGCCAACAACAATTAGCAACGTAAACAAAAAAGAAACCAAAGAAACCATATCTCTCGGGCCCTGGACAAAGGGGGCAAGATCTTTTTTTTTCTCCGCTTTTTGGGTCCTCGCTAGATTACGGACACAGATATTTTTGGCTTGGGTCGTGGATTGGAAGTATCCCCACATATCCTGTGCTTTAAAGCTTGGTTCCATGGAAAGAACTGGAATTGGATTAGCTCACAAACTCTCAACCCGTGATGCTTCACCAAGCCTGTATTTAAGGACGCAGCCCGCGTTAACGAACAAGTCGCTATTTATGCGCCACATTATGTTGATTTGCGCGTTTTAGCAACAGTCCTTGCTGAAACCGTATATGCGTTCACGAAACCTTCATGTGGTATCCCTATTTTCAGACATTACCCGAAACCCCTAAACCCCAAACGCTAAACCTTACAGCAACGAATCATGGGGCCCCAAGGCACAAAACAAGCACCAAGTAAGCCGGAATACTTTCTACTACGGCCTTGAAAGTCCCTATGTGTCCCTTATTCTGGGGGTTGCTATGTGGGGGCCCCTTTTGGGACCCTGAACCTAAGTCTGCTGCTCGTGTTCGTGTTGGGGTGAGCGTGTGGCTTTTCTCATGTAAGACCTCAAGCCCAGAGGCCATGCAAGTGGCAACACCTTTACACCCTATATGAATGAAGGAGAGACGATGGCCAACCTCGATGAGAACTTCGAGGATCTCGTCTCCAGCTTCAGCATGGGGAGACAAAGGCAGGTGTAGGAGGATGGGGTTTTGGGTTCTATAGGATTTTCACGCACGGATGTATAGGGTTTGATAGGAGTTATTAACCCACGAGAGGATGATTGAGTAGAAAAGAGTAGGAAAATCAAATGGAAACTAGGAAAACATGGTGTTTGAAAGGGCGAAGAGGTTCCGCGGTAGGGCAGAGAAGCAAAGCCCAAGTTGTAATTAAGCACGTAATACGCCATGGTCTGGTATACTTATTACTTTAGATCGCACTCTTGTGTGTAATGTGCCTACTTAGATTGGTCAAGGGTTAAGCGATTTAGCGTTGTAGAGGGCCTTTCAGTAATTTACAGTCTAGAGCTTTTGGGATTTAGTGTTCAGCCCTCCTAAAGCTGCTAGAGAAGGAGAGGTCTAAGATTGTTGAGTACACAGCTCAAGTTTTCATGGTAGTCTAGGTTGAACGTTTAAGGGTTTAGGGTGGTCCAGCAATCAGCCTGGATGCAAAAAGGGTTGTCAAGCTTTAAGGGTGCAGGAGTTCTTGCACGCGGCGTTACAGAAGTGTTAAGGCTATGGGCTGATGGCCTTTGGCTGCGGCTAAGGTTTCAGGCTTTCAGGCGTTCTATGTCCTAGACCCTAAAGCCTTAAGCCTAAACATGTGCTCATTGGAAATGCTGCGGGGACTCGTAGTGGGAGAAACTCATCCATAATAGGGTCTTGTAGGGGCTACTATAGAGATCCCACTGCTAAGTAACACTTGCCGGATATTTGACCTTCCGACAGGGAAGCATGCAAAATCTTGGGCGCGCAGGCGCTCCGGCGTTTCGAGCAGAGAAGCCCCCAAATCCATGGTTGGCAAGCAACTTTGGACGGAACACCTCAACGCATCTGCCTTACCAATACACCACACATAGCATGAACTGATCAAAGTGTCATGACCAAGCCAGACACTCACGTTGTCGAGGACGCCCTGTAAAAGGATGCTTTTAAGAATTCACATTTTGCCTGTCGAGGAGCCTGGCTGGAAAACCTGTAAGACAGATGTTCGGGTGCCTGAGAACTGGGACTTAGGGTTTGGGGTTTGCGGGCAGAAATGTGGGGATGACGGCGGAAATATTTGTGAGACAAATGGGAAGCGTTTCTCTGGTGCAGTGAACGATGTGGACACTGGAATGGGGTTGGGTCTGTGTTTGGGGCCTTCTCGGATATCTGTCATATCCGCGCAAGGGGTGTTCCTCGCAGATCCCCCCGCATTTTTCGAGCAGTTCTGCATTCCCGCAGGTCCATGTCGGCATCGCAGCTTTTTACGATGCGCTTTGGCCAGATACTGGGGGTTCGGCAATGTCGTTGTTTCAAGGTTCATCCTGAGGAAGTCTCATAGTTCCATTTCGTTTGGTTTGGAATGAAAGCAAACATTTCGTGCACAAACCTCAATTGGATCGTATGGATTGCGTGTGAGTTTCATCTTTATTGTGGCCCTTAGCAAATAGAAAAGGGCTCGGTCAACCTCAGAGGAAGCTTAGGCCTGGAGTTAGCTCAACAGGGGGGTGGCGGGGTATGATATTAGAGGGAAGGGATCATAGCACATTGAAGGACAGCTTCAATGTTGCCTTTGCCCGCTACTGTATCCTACTTTACCTCAGCGTGAAAGTGCCCCAGACAAGACAGACAAGCGTGCCCCGCTCATTTGAGTTACGATTTCCATATAGCACAAACTCTCCAGCACTCACCAACAGACCAACAACTCTCCATGGTAGTCCCCAAATATTCCTGGCCCCTGACAATCTGCCAAGTTGGATTTGCCAAGGTATGTTGTCCCCGCGGAGAGCCTCATCAACATGACGACCATCCGACCATTCGAGGAGTGCTGCAGGGTAGATCCTACTGTGCGTAACGGCATATAACAGCATGGTCCAAGAATCAAAGTAGCTGGGAGCACGGCTAGCATGTAATGGGTTTGCCGTGCAGGGGCTGGGCTACACCCCATGCGACTCTAGGATGCAGTGCGAGACGCAGTTTTGCTGAAGCATATGCTGTAGGTACAGAATTCGAGATATAGCTTCTTCAGTCGGTTCTTTGGTCCGTGGAATTTGGTCGTTATGAGAGAGATCCTTTTCCTGCCAGATTGCTTTCTTGAAGTGCTCACCAGCCACAGCTTGAGGACGAAGCCAGTCCCTGCAAAGAACTCATGGCCATTTCTCAAACTCAGTGCTCCTTGTGTACGCTCGACTTACCCGAAGTATCCGAGCGGATTGTAAAGGACTTCCAAGACAAGAAGGAGGCCCAACGTTTGGATAACCT